ATGATAAGTATTTATATGTTATATTTTTATAGATATATGTATATATATATATATATATATAATATATATATATATAGATATAATATATAGATATAATATAATATATAAAGAATTAAAAATTATTTAATAATTTTATAATAATCTAAAGAAAATATTATTATAAGATATACAAGAGGTAGCAGAAAGGACACCGATTTGTCTCAACATCTTTCAAAAAGTCAGAAGACCTACTAAGACCTTTTCTAACGTCGACTTTAGCAACTGTCAATGCCATCTTATCTTAATGACTATCTATGCTCAGATGTTAGAACATTGTCAAGGAATCGGTGAGTCAATGTAAATTAATATTATGCATAACGACTATTATATATATTGTTACGTCTAACTATTTGGAAGGTTTTATTTTTCGAGATTGTTCGGATATATAACGAAAGAGAATGAAAAAGGTTTTGAAGGACGCTTAGACTTTATCTCACAAGTATACGTGCAGAGGCGAATATCTAAGCATCGGACACACTTTTTATCGGATCTATCAATTAGCGATTCAAAAGAGTCATCAGGGTCGATGAAATATTCATTGTGCGGAGGAGGAGGAGGAGGTCCAGAATTTCCACACTCGAGGTTGAGTTAGCAAGTAATTGTGGGTGACGGAGGAATAGATTGGATAGAGGAATCAGGAATTAGAGGTGGGGTGTCTGAAAAGATTTAGTCGCTCCATCAGAGCGTCCGACAACGCAAGTGACGAAGATCGGAGAGGAAGAGAAGGAGATATCGCTTTTGGTGCGGTGAATCAATCGAACCGGAGGGGCCGACGAAGCCGGTGGTGGCGAATGTAGTGGAGATTCTAGTGGAAGAAGGTCCTCCGCTGGGTCTATTCAACTCCGAGAATGGTTTAAGGTCGCGAAGTATTCCCGGTAGGCTTTGGCCAGCAGTCTGCAGATTTTTAAATATGCCTGAATCCGAAATCAACCTCGGTGCCGCCAAGAGCGATTATTTGTTCGAAGTTTCACTAACGATTGTGAGTTAGGCTCCCGAAGTAAATGAAAAAAACAGGACTTACTTTTAGATTGTCTTTTTGAATGATTGTTCTGTGTTTCACGATGTTGTGGTTTATATAGATCTTTTTTTGGTTCCTTGATAGGATGTATCAACACAAACAGTGGTTCTTTTTTGATCCGCAGCATGTCTAATATCAAGCAAGCCGATGAGGCATGCTGGGTGAAACCTCCTGTAGGCGAGAGAGAGAGAGAAAGAGAGAGAGAGAGAGAGAGAGGGAGAGAGAGAGGGAGAGAGAGAGAGGGAGAGGGAGAGGGAGAGATTCATATATTTGATTCGTGAAGAAACATGACCATAGATTTCCACTTTACACGTCTCTGGAAAAGCATTGAATTTAAAGAATTGTGCCTTTTTAAAGAATTTGAGACTTTTGTTCAGGACGTCGAGGACAACATACTTTAATTCCAGTCAATTTCACCGAGAAACATTTTCCATAAGATCTGTGCTGGGTCCTTTATAAATTATTATAATTTAAAACCATATTCTATTTCAGGAAAACAAGACATAATCTTAACGGCGATTTTGGAATTTGTGGAGATCTGTTTAGCAAATAACAATGTACCTCAAGCTCGCAGACTTCTGAGTGATGCTGAAACTCTGATTCAACAAGTAAGCAAAGCGGATATAACAAGATAAAAATAGTAAAGTAAGTTTAAAAAAAGACAAGTTAATGATCCTTAACGATAGATAGCCGAGTCCAATGAAGAGAAATCAATCTTCCTGTCTTACCTCACCGCAAAAATTCAGACGTTTCAAGGTAAATGTCATTTGGAAAGCGGTTTAATTTCCGAAGCAAACAAGAAGCTGAAACAGGCAATGATCAGTCTAGGCTATCATTTTCCTCAACGCAAATTCGCGATCGATTTAAAGTCTACAACTCAACTCGAATTGCTAAGATGGAGATTGATCTGTCCTAAGCGTTGGAATATTGACATCACCGATGAACTTACTATAAATTATATCGAGCAACTGGCTAATTGTTTGGCATTGATATTTGTTGTTTACAGAGTAAGGCTCATTAATTATGTTAAATTTTAAGATTCAACATAATTATTATTAATTATAATTTAAAGGGAACAAAAGATATGAAGAAACATGCACGGCTAGCGGCCATTTGGAGCTTAAACGCTGCAATGGATGTGTCAAATGATTTTGTTACACTCTGCACTTCGTTCACGAATATGATGATCATTGCTCACGTCTACCAAACCAAGTGATATAACTCAAATTTAAAATTATTTAAAACTAAAATAAACTTATTGCGAAAAATATTGCCTCGGCCGGCAGTCGAACCCGGATCTCTTGCATTCCGTGCGAGCGTCCTGAGCCTTTAGAATTTATATTTTTCGCAATAAGTTTATTATAGTTTTTTAAGATTAATTTGGGGAATTTGGGGGGATTATTAATATTTCAGATCAATTGCGTTAATGCCGACAACCATATCGGCACGTAATTATCATTTCTGAAATTAATTTATTTGTTTGAAAATATATATATTAGTTCAACATCTTAATACTTAGACCGTAGTGGCGCTTTGGATTTAAAGTAATATTATTTAACATAAACGGTCTTATTTCCTATCTTATTATTTAAAACTAAAGTTCTTAAATTAATGAAATCAATTAATCAATATAATTTCCGCCAATAAAACTTATTATCAATCGTTTGTAGCATTATCAAGTTTATTATCTTTTTATTGAAACGATAATATTTGTTACATTATTTAATTATTTGTGAGTAGGTCAATTGTTCCTTATTTGGAAAAAGAGGCTCTTAGTATCTGTGCAAAGAAAGGAGATTTACTTGAACTTCAAGAGCTCAAAGTCATTGCTGAACTTTACGCAGGGATATTTTTTTCGCGATGGTTGAGAGGAGAAATCAGCAAAGCGATTAGAATCGGCTTTATTACGATGAGGATGGCACAAACTATCGACTCTATGTTCCTCAAATTGCTCATGCTACCAAGATTAGTACACTTGCTCATGATTTCATGTCGTCATTCGGAAGTCGTGAGTTTGTTAAGAGACTTAGGTGAGTTCTCCGAATCAATAAACAGACAAATCTTAATAATCTTAACATAATGTTATTAATGAATTTTAAATATATCTTATAAATATGTGGTAAATATATCTAATAAACTGTATAAATCAGATTAATTGATATTTTAATTATATATAAAAATATATTTGAAACTGTATTTACAGAATTCATATCGCGAAATGTTTTGGAAAAATCAGGTCGGACTTGGTATTACGCCATGTGTGCTGATGTGCAACTTGATACCGGTCTCACAGTCTTATCGTTTCAAAATTGCAATAAATATTACAACCAAGAAGGAGAGACCATAATCAGCCTCTACGATCCCGAAGCGGAAAGGAGATATTTTACGTCAATGTGGTTGTGGTAAATATGAAAAATTTCGCTTTACAAAAATCAAAGAGAATTAATAAGAGAATTAATCGGTTATAAAAAATATATATTATTCAAGGTGTATCAGAACACAGCAATGGGAAGCTGTGAAAGTTTGGAGCAGTAGAAATGTGACGGCTGAGAGTGTAGTAGATGAGCACAAAGTGGCAGCGACATTTACTGCATTGAAGAAACTTGAGGGATTGTTAATTTTATACGGTAAAGTAGATGAATATTTGAATATTATGCAAAAATTATATATATATATGTATATTTATTTGCATAATATTCAAATAATAATCTCAATATATTTTGTATATATATATATATATATATATATATATATATAGGATGAAAAATTTCAAACGTAATGGGCCAAATATCTCGGAAAATATGAAAGATACGGAAAAATGTTTCAAATAAAAGTTATACGGTCTGAGGGGATACAAATACTGATCAAATAAATTGTCTAAAAAAATCAACTTTTTAAGGTCGTATGAAGATCATCGCTATTTTTTTTAATTATAATTTTTTTACATAGTATGATTCTTCTGATTATTCCGCACATAAAAATAGGGTAAAATCACCTAATATGAGATACCTTTTTTTAAAGACTTGTGATTTATTTAATTTGCAATCTTAATTTCTATTTTTCATGTCAATTTTATGAGAAATATTGTATATTCAAGTCATCTAAAATTAGCGATCGATAGTAGCTATACTTTGTTGTATGTAAAATTTTTTATCGAAAATGCTTATTTTGCTTATTCAAAAAATGGGTCTCTAATATGAGATACAAGGATTTTTTGTATGAGGTGCTATCTCATAACAGAAAATTAAAGAAAAAAATAAAGATATAAGGTTTTTATACATGCTTTTATTATATTACATACAAGTAGGAACAAAGAATTTGAATGTTACAATATATATAATATAATTATATAATTTTTTGATATGTGTGTATGTGAGTATGTGTGTATGTGTGTGTGAGTAATTTTAACAATAGAATCATCATTTTTAACATTTCGTTCAATAATATGCTTTGAGATATTGAATCGTTTAGATACTCTCATATAGCTAGGAATCATATACCTTGAGTATCTCATATTACGATTTCCATGTCTTGCGGTTTCATGATCACCAAATCTAATCTTTACAGTTAAACAAATCATTATATTACGTGTTTTCCTATTAATAGGACCTTACTCTATCATTGTATACAAAAGTTGAAAGTTTTCGAAATTTCTATTGATTTCGACGGATTTTTGGCTTCAATTTTGATTAATTTTCGAGTCGGAAATAAAATCTTGAATTGATCTAGTCAGCATAAAAAAATACTACTAGTGTCACTGATGCAATAAGTAAATTCGACAAGTAGTGTCATTAATAGCGTAATAGTTTGGAGAAAATTTCATTAAAGTTTCATTAAAATTTTATTGTGAAAATAAGTATTATTCATTAGCATCATTATATTTCAAAGGATACACAACAAATTATAATAAAAAAAATTTATTTTATGAATACATTTTATTATCAAATATTTATTTTTTCCGAACCTTGGTCGATGAGCACGCGTGTGGTATGCCGATTGCCGTGACGATCAGCGACGGAAACTCGCGCAGTTGCGAGCAAGGTAGCCTTGTGGTCGTCGTCGCGGCGCAGCGCCGACAGTGAGCTGACCTCGTGAGGTTTCGATGAAACGTACGCGTCGTGGAACATTGAGTGGTGAAGAGACTGGCACGCAGCACAAGTACT